CCCCACCCTCCTGGATCTTGCTGCATGATATTAGCAATACTCCTGAGTTGTAAATAATTTCACTCGGGTTATGCTAAAATTTGGTTTATTGTTGTTTTGAAATGAAAAACACGATATTTAAGGGGAGATTACTATGTTTTAAAAGTCGCGCTATTGGAATTGGATTTCTCATACATTGAAGATCGATTATCTCTCTGTATTAGAAAAATCCTAATCGACTTCTGGTGATGAAAATTTGGCATTCGAAATTAGGACTCCAAAATTAAGGATCACAAGGGTCAAAATAAGGGTCATGAGGATCAGAATAAGGGTTACGAGGGTCTGGATAAGGGTCACGAGGGTTAGATAAAGGGTCATAAGGGTCAGATTAAGAGATATGAGGGTCAAAATAAGGGTTACGAGGTTCTTAATAAGGGTCACAAAAGTTAGATTAAGTATCATAAGAGTTAGATTAAGGGTCCAAATAAGGTTAAGGTTAACAAGGGTCAAATTAAGGGTCCATATAAGGGTAACCAGGGTCAGATTAAGGATCTAAATAAGGGTCACAAGGACGAAATTAAGAGTCACAAGGGTGACAGTAAGGGTCCCAATAAGGGTTATTTGATCAGAAATTAAGGGTCGTAAGGGTTAGAATAAGGATCATTGAGGTCATATGTGGGTCATGTAGGGGTTGGCGAGCGGCACGAGCTAGCCCCCTAGTATATGCCTAAAAACGAATAGTTAAAAAAAAAAATTAATTGTTTATTGATCATTTACCCCGCAGACATTTAAAATGTTAAAAATAGTCCAGGGCCAAAAATGGAAATTTCATGTCATTTTGTTTTTGAAAATTTATATTCCATTGAAAATTCAATCAAGTTGTGAAATTTAGATCGCACTCCCACTAAAAACTCATGAATTTCCTTGAATTCTACCTAAAACTTGAAATTTCCTAACCATTTTTCCCCTAAATCCGATTCAGTGTCACTCTCACGAGAATTACTATCATATTTTCCATGAAATTGCAAAAAATTTCTAACAGTGTTGATTCGGAGCGAGAAAGTGAAGTGAGTTGCAGTCAATGAAGGATTCGAAACTTTGAGAAATATCTAAGTGTTATAATTTGGTATAAAATTCAGAATTGAAGTTGGCAGAGTTATGGAATTATTATAAATTGAGCAGTTTCAGTAGCCTCGGTGGCTTGGCACAGTGGATATGTTTGTTCCCTCACATGCGAAAGGTTCCGAGTTCATAATCCGGCCGGGTATAATGGTGAGATCTATCCATTTTATAGTCTTGATCATCATCGCTGCATACTCCAGCCGGGTCGAAGCGATGCAAAATAACGATGAAAAAAGTTTAAGTAGCAATTTTGAATAATTGATAAATTTTCTTAGAAAATTAATAAATATTTCGTTTTGAAACGGAACAGCTCTCGCTCCACACCCTCCACCATTGCGGAACCCCAGGAAAAACTTGCGTACACTGACCATCCCCTAGCGAAATGACATGCAACTGCAACATGTAACTGGAACATTGTTCATCCGAAGGATATTTGTCTTGCAGTGAATGTATTTTGGGTTCAAAATCATTTAGTTTAAACCTCGTCATATTGAGCTCTGCTCCTCAGGCGCACCCATCCTGTTACATAAATTTTGTCAACACTTTTCTCCACATGAGGAAAGTTAATGGGAATTTATTTAGAAAATCTCAACGAATTTTGCTGGCAGAAGCGTAATTGCGGAGCGAAATTTAATTCATGAAAAAAATTTTCAACGCCATTAAAAATTTTGGATATTGGCAGAAATTTCCGGTACTTTTCTTGTAAATTTTATATCGCCTTACAGTTCTAGTGAAATTTTACAAAATTTTATCTTTGGATATTCATATTTTCATTGAGAACTGAAGAATCCTCGTTTCCCTGCCGCTCAAAATTTGGAATTTTATTGAATTTTCAGCCGCCATGAGCAGTGCTCCAAAATTTTTGACAATTTCGGAGCATAAGGGGAATTTTGTTGGATTATTCCCCCCACCCCCCACACATACGCACTGAATTTCGACCGATAGAAATGCAACTTCATTTATATTAACAGAAAATTTTTATTCTTTGTTGCCATGCGACTAAATGGAAATGACCGAAACACTATTCAATGAAACACTACCGAAATGACTTTACCCCGACTTCCCTGTAAAACATCTAACAGAAGAATACACAATGAAATCAGTAGCGAAGTGGTCAAACGGTTTAAGTCGATTTTGGATATTGGCCAGTTTTCAATGAATATCTCGGAATCTAAGGGAGATGGCAAAATTTTTCTCATAATCTTTTTAGTAGCACTCGCTCTATAAAAATAGTATATTTCGTCATTAGGCCGAAAAAAACTTTTTTGTCATTCCAGCCGTGAATCTCTGCCTACGGTCGTCATGACAAAAAATATTGTTCGTCATACGGCCAAAAAAAACTTTTCTGACGAATATGATTGCAGCCCTCGCCTTCGGCTCGTGCTGCAAACCTCATTCACGGAGAGAAATATTCAATAAAAATTACCAGAAAAAAGACGTAAAAATTACGTTTCGAAACGTAATCTGGGAGCGAAGTAAAACTCAATAAAAAGTGTCAATCGTCATGTAAATTCTACGATCTGTTCCATAAAAATTGCTCATCCATCCGATGCCTCACGGCTAGCCATGAGTCACCGTGAGGGGGAGATTTTAACAATACGTTCCGTAATTTTTCCGGAACTTTTCGTAAAAATTCTTAAACATCCAAGAATTTTCATGTTCTGAGGCATAATAAGTCTTGAAGTTTCTGTTAGATTTTACAACTTCCAGAAAAATTACGTGACTTTTTCGTATTTTTTCGGTGACAGACCCGAAAATTTACTGAACGTTTCAGATTTATTCTCTTATATTCCTATAGAAATTCACTGAAAACGATTCTCGCTTGCGGATTACGTGAAATGTTCCGTAATTTTTCTTGNTTCGCCAGAAAAGTTTTTTTCGGCCTAATGACGAAATATATTATTCTGGCGAATATGAGGTTTGCAGCACGAATCGAAGGCGAGGGGTGCAATCATGTTCGTCAGAAAAGTTTCTTTTGGCCGTATGACGCACAATATTTTTTTTGGTCATGACGGCCGTAGGCAAAAATTCACGGACGCGGAGTGAAGCGGAGCGTCCGTGAAACGCTGCCTTACGGCCGGGATGACAAGAAGGTTTTTTTTTTATTCGGCAATTTGAAACCTATATACAAGGTTTATTAGCCTGAGCCATAAGGCAATTCAGTACAGTACATGGCAACACTGATTATATTTTCAAATTACATTGGTTGAAGAAGTTATCAATAGATTTTATAACAATAGGATCCAGCATATACACAATATGATTCATTGAAGTGGGAAATGGACACTTTCCTTTGATTTTACTGATCAGTTCCTTCCTTTGTTCATCATACTGTCGGCATTGCCAGACTAAATGGTCCACATCTTGCTCCGGATATCCACACTCACATGAAGGAGAGTCCACCACCCCAATCCTGGCCAGTGAGGCTTTCAGATTGTAGTGATTGGCTCTAATTCTGTTCACCCAAACTACAGTGTTTCGTCGAAGTTTTTTGAACTTCCTGAACCAGGGTTTAGCAGAGTTACTGTAAAAATCCCTGAAATATACTTTGCCCTTCATGGCTCCTGTTTCTTTCAGCTGTTGAGATGTATTCTTTTTTGACAAACTTCTGAATTCCTCTTTGAAATCAGTAAAGGGGAGGCTGGAGATTTCAGGGCGTATCACTTCAGTTGCTGTTTTCGCTAGACGATCAGCCTCTTCGTTTCCTGGAATTCCCATATGAGATGGTATCCAGAAGAATTTCAATTCTCGAGACGTAGGTGTAAGGGTGTTGAAGTGATTATATTTTTCACGAACTTGCAGTAGATATTTGTTTACATTGATCTTCAATTGTGGATGATTGAGGGCTTGCAGAGCGCTGAGACTGTCTGTGAGTATGTGAATGTCTTTCTGGGTGTTCTGCAAAGCTAACTCCATAGC